TTCGGAAGACTTTATTGAAAAAAAGAATGAAATATGTCATTAATAACTTTTATATTGATTACATGTTAAAATTACAGATAATATACACCCGGTTAAATAAAACATTGATACAATTAATTTTACCTGCATCTCTTTACTCTTTAATGTAGTAACTAGAAAACTTTAAATAACATACGGGATTCTCATTATATTAGTAGTGGAGAGCGCTGCTCTAGAATAAGGTTTAATTCAGCTGCCAAGTAACTGAGCACACCCATTCCTATAAGATAATGGCAAACTTGAGGTTTACACATTTACATTTTCCTCAGCGTGGTGACTTCATGCTTGTTAAAATGTAATGATTTCTATAATTGAGGAAGTAGACCACAAAATTCTGTATATATTTTTGTCTTCTAAGCAGGTGTCCATGATTAATTCATTCATCAAAAGCATTGGTGTTACAGAAAATTTAAGAAAGATCATAGTTTAAAAAACTGAAAAAACAATATTGTTACAAAATTTTGTAATTTTGAGGTGACCTTAGCACCTCAACCCATCAGGCCACATATAGCTCACATGATGGGGCTGTGGGCCCCAGGCCCAACTTACCAGCTGTATGTAAAGGTCTAGGGGAGGGGACACTGGAGTTCTGTGGGGTCTGTGCCATTTCTGGGTGCTCGGAAGGCTGCCGTGCGGGGCTGGGCAGGAAGCTATGCGAGACGGGGCAGGGCTGGAGCTGCAGCCAAGTGGGAGAAACATGGGAGCCAGGCCTAGGCAGGGCAGCCACAAAACTCACTCTGCAACAAACCACAGTGGTGACCACTCCCCATCCTGTTTCCCATGCCAGCCGGGCAGGGACCTCACCCAAAACAAGGGGTGGGGAAACTGGCAAGAGAAGCACCCCGAGCACAGGCTCAGTGTGGGCCAAGAGCACACACAGCTGGCGTCCTGCTTCTGGAAGGTGATGGGATGCCAGCGAGACTGCAAGGTGGACACTTCCTTCAGCTAGAAGCCTTACGAGCATACCAGATGGGTCTGCACCAGCTGAAAACACCGGCTGTTCCATGGCTGCTCACATTCCAAATACCAAGAAATGGAAAGAAAAGGGAAGTTTGGCCAGGCACAGTGGCTCATGCTTGGAATCCCAGCACTGTGGGAAGCCGAGGCAGGTG